TTATTATTATTATTATTATTATTATTATTATTATTATTATTATATTATTACTTTTTTAATCTATTTTTATCTACATTTATTTTATGTATTATATTTATCCCTTTCATCAATATATCTATTAATTTAATGATAAAAAGGATAAATATAATACATAACTAAGTGTCTAAATATCTACATGCGATACGTGCAGTCAAACAGGCTTAACTTATGCAAACACGTAATTGTTTTAATCGTGTTATACAAGAGTTCGCTGTCCGAAAAATGTCACGAAATGTCCTCATGCTGCAATATAAATTTGTATTCAGGATTTGGCGACGCGGTGAACTGCGAGGACACTTGGAAAGCGTGTTCAGCCTACATCGACGAACAATTTCGGCAATATTTCACGGACGAGAGCGGGTTAAATCGGAAGAACATTCAAGACAACCGAGTACATTGCTGTTTATATTTCATACCTCCTTATGGTCACGGGTATATCCAAGCATCTATTTCAGTGGTTCTTAATCTCTTCGAGATTCGCGGGACATAAAATCGCACAAGGCCGTAAATTTAACAATAAAAATGCATCTTGCTTGAAAATCGGTAAAAACACGCAAAAAAATTGTCGAACGTTTGAATTGTTATAACTTCGTGAAGTAGGGATCATACGACAATCAACCAGAGTTTACGTTAAATTATTTTATATATTATTTATAATTTTATAGATAATACAGCATTTATAATGTATATTATCTTCACAATGCACACCGTTCATCCTTTTCTCTTAGACATTCTTGCATTGTGTAATTTAATACTATGTTTAATAACGATTGACGTTCGATGAAAAAAAAAAATCAGACATAAAATTTCGAAGGATCGTCGCGAAGCGAGGACTTCAATTTTTAAATTCACACCAAGTCCGGTCGTGTGATAAATCTTTCAATGTTTTCTACACACGCTGTAACAATATTCGTAATATTTTCAAAATGGAAGAAAAGTTGAATGACACGTTACGAAAATAAAGATTTCACGCTTTGAAATAAGTCCTGATTGATTGTTGATTTTTCTCACGAAGTTGTAACATTCTATTCTAGTGAAAGAAAAAGAAATTAATGATTTAAAACGTATTATATATTTGTGAAGAGTATAACCCTTTCATAAAAATCTTCTTTAATTCAATCTCAATGCAAGACCTGGTGTTTATTGGCTTTTGCGAATTTCAGCAATATTAGGCTTAATAATTAGACTGCGTTTACGGTGAATTGAAAGACATAAAAAACGCAAAACGGAAAAGCGTGCAAATACGCGAAAATGTATGAAATATCTCGAGCAGAATATTTGTTATAATACTTATCGGATAAAACGAAATTTCTATTTAAATTCCATTTATTTAACTATGCCCATGAAAATTTTAAAAATCCGCGATCTGCTAGTAATAATGCATGATATAAGCTAACTCCATTTTCTCGTCTTTCACGTTTTTTTTTCAGTTTTTAGAACGCCGTTGGGCCGAGAAAATCGATACAGTAAAACCCCGTTTATGCGAACTCTGCGGGAAACAAATAGTCTGTTTAATCAAAATTCACATGATAGCAGGTCCGCTAATCGTCCCCTCTATTAGTAATTTTTTCGAGTACAAATAAGCATAAACCAGCGTGAGTTCATTTAATTCATTAACCAGTTTATTCCGAAGGAGAATATCTTTTATCTTTCGATTATTGTCTACGAAATATATACAGGGTGAACAATTTAATCTGATCTTGAACATCTCCGTCATTTTTGAAGAATTATTTTGCGAATAAAGATTCGTTCAAATGGAATGACATATTTTTTACTCCATTGATCGATGCAGTCCGACATTGTTGAGATATTATTTATCTCATATTTATATAATATTATTTTAATTTAGAAGATATTTTAACTTCAATTTGGTCGAACTTTGTCGAATAAAAGACAAGGAAGTGACGGGGCTTTTATGTTTGAAGTTAAAATATCTCCCAAATAAATAATAGCTTTTCGATATACGTAGATTAACTTTTTTATCGAGTTGCACCAAAAAAAATATATAATTCCATTTAAAAAGTAAATATGATTTTGAAATCTTCAAAATGTTTGTTAATGAAGATTTCTCATTTCCTTCAAAAACAACGGTCTTGGAGATATCCAAGATGACCAAATTATTGTTCCAAGTATTGTTCAACACGTGTCGACAGAGGAAAAAAATTATGGAAGTATTTTAAAACAAAAAAAAAAAAAAAAAAAATTACACATTCTTTTCCACCGAAATTCATAATTCTGCCAGATTGTTTGACCAGTCAGCCTTGATACAATTTTCATAAATGTAACTTGCAGCTTTCGCGAAACACCGGTTAAGAGCCACTGATCTATTTATGTTTTACACTCTCTTGCGTTTTACTTCCTCATTATCTTTTCCCCGCCGCAGACTCAGACAAATTGATCTGGAGGTGTTAAAGCGGCTGCATCGTAAAGTAAACGTAGTGCCTGTAATTGCCAAGGCAGATACGTTGACTACCTACGAGGTGAAGATGTTGAAGGACCGAATACTTGCTGACATCGAAGAACACGAAATTCAGGTAACAATATCTTTAAGTATTGCGTTCCTTTCGTGTTTAACAAGTGTTCCGTGCCAAGCCATTTTTGCCTATTGTTTTGTCGTTCAGGCCATTTGATATTTTCACTAAAGCTTGATATATTATCAAACAATCTTTCATTACATCATCAATCGATAAGTAGTTCTCTTGTTTAGAGTAGATCTATCACGTATCTATCGTGTACCACTTTAAATAATATTATTAGAAATACATGCTGGTACACGTGGCCTGAAGATCAAGTTTAACGTGTACCACCGGTGGTACACATGGCACGGAACCTGCTAACGAATTTTACGAATATGCGAAAACACAAGGAGAGAAAGAAAAATGAAAAAAAGATACGATGCTTTTCACGTAGATATATCAATTTCCGGACTGCGATAGCGACGAAGATGAGGAATTCAAGCAACAGGACAAAGAGCTTAAAGCGTGCATCCCGTTCGCTGTGGTTGGTAGTTCAACGGTGCTCGAAGTCGCAGGGAAGAAGGTCCGCGGTCGCCAATAT